CGGCTGTTTCAATGAGCACCAAAGTGGATCGGAGCAAGACAGGATCCTTGACAACTTCAAACTTTTCTCCATTTATTATGAAGTTACCCTTTGGTTCAGTTGTGAGGAGTCTGGTTTTCTTTACGTTGAGTTGTAATCCGTATTGAAGGCCACAGTCATTGATCATCAGTAAGTGCCTCAAGTCCTCCTCATTTTCAGCAAGCAAGGTTGTATCATCTGCATCCTGCAGGTTGTTAACAGGTCTTTCTCCAATCCTGATGTCACATTCATCCTATAATCCAGTTTCCAGATTAAATATAATCCATATTCTTCATATAATTCAATATACAGGTTAAATAAATAGGGTGAGAGGCTATAACCCCAATGCCCACCTTTCCTGGGCTTACACCATGCAGTATGCCCTGGTTCTGTTTGCACAACTGTCTCTTGATGCACACACAAAGTTCTGCCTGAGCACAAGGAAGCGCTCTGGAATTCCCATTTTACAGCTTCGTAAATACGGGTGATGCAATTTAGGTAATACCTCCTGTCCACAACTAAGTTTTGCTTTCATCAATGCCGATTTCCTGCCATTTGTAAATAAGGAAATCAGAAATGCTTGTGAACCAGAACCCTTACTTTCCTCCCCCACAATAGTCCTGTGGGGACCGAGAGGGTTTGTGCCTGTGCTTCTTGCTTAGTTCTTTTCCATCTTCTTTTAAAATTTCCTTCCGATTTCCAACTCACGGAGACCCCACGTGTGTCAGAGTAGAACTGTGCTCTCCTTTGTCCAATTCTTTGGAAATCCATTGCCAAGCCTTTCTTCCGGGTGCCTCTGTTAGCAGCCTTTCAGTTAGCAGCAAGCACATTAACTGTTTGCCCCGGCCAGGCACTTCTGAAATTAAGCACCAACATTTACATGACTAATATGCTTACAGAGATGTGGGTGGCCATGAGTCAGAATAGAATAACAGCCATAATTCAGAAAGCATGCAATGTGATGAATGTTCACATACACACACACACACATACCCCTCTGTGGCCCCACCACCCAAATCAAGATACAGAGCATGTCCAGCACCAGGAGTTTCCCTTGCGTTCTTTCCCAGTCATCATGCAATGCCCCCCACCTCAGATAACTGTCTTTCTGAGTTCTAGCATTTATAATGAGGGATGGTTCTGTGGTTAAGCAGTTGGCTGCTAAGCTAAAGGTGGGTGGTTTGAAACCACCAGCTGCCCATGGGAGAAAGAGGTGGCTGATTCACGAGAGATTACTGCCTTGGAGACCCTATCGGTCAGTTCTACTCCATCCCATTTCATTGCTATTAGTTGATGACAACGGAGGGGACTGGAGCCACTGATTAGCTTCTCTGTTTTGAGCTTTGTACAAATGTTATACAGTATGTAAACTGCTGTGCCTGCTCTCTTCCATGCAGCATTATATCCATAAGATTCATCCATGCTGCTGCTTGTGCCCAAAAAGATGTCTCTGTCATTGCTGTGTAATCTTTCACTTATGAATGGGCCACAATGTACTTAATTTTTCTGCTGTTTAAAATCATGTGAGCGGTTTCCAGTGTGGGGCTTTTATGAGGGAGGAAAAGCTACTGTGAACGTTCTTGTTGCCTTTGGGGCTGGGGTAGTTGTAACTTTTTGATTTCACGAATTTCATAGGTTTCTTTTAATTTGTTAGACTTGGGGGGAGGTTGTAAAATGTTCTACTTGAGCTCACATCTCATTTTAGAATATACAAAAAACCAAAAAGTTAAAATCCCATGTTGAAAAAACAATTTGCTTATAATTTGTCAGGAGTTCACGAGGGTAGGAGGGTGAAGGAGGGAAGGGGAAAAAAGAGGAGCTGATACCAAGGGCTCAAGCAAAAAGAAAATGTTTTGAAAATGACGATGGCAACATATGTACAAATGTGTTTGATACAATTGATTGACGGATTGTTATAAGGACTAAAAGAGCTCCCCAACAAAATGATTAGAGGGAGGAGGAGGAGAATGAGAAGGAGGAGGAGAAGAAACACAATTTACCATCAAGCATAGCAGTGAGTCCTCATTGCACTTCATAGACAGTTTGTGTAGATGCTCCTGTTTGCAAAACGTGGCGCGTTGATCAGAGTTAATCTTGTCCCCTTGCAAGCAATGGGTTGAAGGTAAAAAGAGAAGGTAATGACTCAGTTTGCATCCAGTGATTGATTACCTTAGGTATAGCCGGATGAGGGTGCTGACACAATGTCCCCAGTGGTTGGTCACTCTTTCCATTTCTCTCTAGACTCTCTCCTTCCCATTTCGATTACTCTTCTCCACTGGTGACCGGGCTCCTTCCATCTTATAACTTTCCAACTCAAGTTCAACAGAAAGAAAGCATTTCTCTTTTCCCAACAATTATCATCACAAAAACTCCCAGGGTTGAATTTCATTTGGCCCTTACTGGGTGGGTTATGAACCCTGACACAATAACGGTGTGCAAGAGGAAGTGACTGACTGGGTCAGGTGTTCACAGAATGAGAGAAAGGTGGTTGCGCAAAGGAAAGTGAGTGCTACCTGTAAGGTAGAAAGGGATCCTGGCAGGGACAACACCTGCCTTGTGTTTTCTCAAATCCAGATGTTCTGTCATTTATACATAAGAAAATCATTATGCTAAGAAGTATGGGATTTGGCTGGCAAATGACCATCTAAAACTGTAAGTAATGGCATGAAGTTAACTTTTTCATAATCTGTGGAACATAAGAGCACCCACCTACATTTTCTGGGATGGTCTCGTCCCACTGTTAGTGCATACTGCCGCCTGGTGGAGGCCTGAATAACTGCATCTGAGGAAATGCGCCTCTCCATCCTTTGTACCAAAGGCACCGTGGGACAAGAGCCACTAATGGTATCAGAACCCATATTACCTCAAAATTTTTATTTTAATTTAAATTTTTTTTAATTTTGTGAAGGGGGAAGAGTTGTGCTTAGGGGGCATTGAGTTTATGTTAATGGTGGGGGCATAATTTGGAAAAAGGATACCAATAATGGTTGTACAACACGAAGAGTGTTATCAAATGGCACTGAACTATACTTGTAGAAGTTGTTAGATTGGAAGCAAAAATAAAAAAAGAAAGAATATAGGATTCTTCACTCAGCACAAGTTTGAGACATTCAAAGTCAGCACTCCAATTGACCTGGCTTGGGCCAGGCCTCTAGACCTGTACTGATACTTAGCTCTGGCCAGTTTTCAACATATTCTGTGCTGTTTTTGTTTGTTTGTTTGTTTGTTTCCATTGGGGTTAGTCTCTGATGTATTTTGTCATTGAGGGTAGGCCTCTAGAATTTTTGTTATATATTTGTCTGTTTTCTGATATATGAAACCCAGGATTGGTGACCCTGTCGAGACAAGTAAAGTAAGAGTTCCTGGGAGGGTGGGGGGGGGGTACATTAAGGGAGCGGGGAGTAAAGGAGCATTGATATCAAGGAGTTCAAGGAGGAAGAAAATGTTTTGAAATGGATTATGGTAGCAATTGTACAATACTGCTTGATGGGGTTGAACTATGGAATGATATGGTATCTGTATTGGCTCCAAATAAAATGGTTTTTGAGTGGGGGAGGGAGAAAAAATATTTTTAATTTGCATTACTGAAAACCCGTGGGTTCAAGAAAAAATAATTCGGTCTTGAAAGAGTTAATATGCCTTTAGCACTGCTTATTACTCAACAAATCTGACCCTTGGCCTTAGATTAAAGATAGATTTGTAAAAGTTGGCTGAACTTTCAAACAGTTCCACTTCCTTCTTTCAAAAACATCATTATTCTTCTAATCAGACTGGCTTCCAACTGTGACTGTCCTGGTGGTCTATATTTTCCTTACCTTTCACCAGTTCCCTTATCGGGTCAGTCAGCAAATCCTATTGAGTCCTTCACATTTTCTCCCTTACTACCGTCCTCATTCCCACTAATACTACACCCCCTGCTCCATTCTATTCCCTTAGTGATCACGGAAAGATAAGAGCACTTCTTTACCAGTAAGTCTAGTCTTGGCAGAATGACTTGGTCACATGTCCATTTTTGAACCAAAATCAGAGGCCAGGAGGATGGCGGACATGGACTGGTCAGTCCTGGGTCATGGGACGCTCCTTGGGGTCAAGAATGCAATCAGTCTCTCTTGGGTCACCTAAACTATGGGTCTGGGGAAAGGGATGAACAAGCAGGGCGTGGAAGTCAAAGGAAGGGGAAAGAGATAATGGGCGGGTGAAAATAACACCCTTCCGTACATTTGAAATTAAACCCTATGACTTCTGATTTGAAAGTGTGTCACATTTACAGATTAAGAGCTTCATGGGACTCACAAAATCGTACTTTCCGATGGAAAAGGGTTGTTGCAATTATATTCTTTCCCAAGTCCTCCAGTACCACAAACTATTCTTCCTTTGCTCACGAGTACTAATTTATGCTTGGAACCCTGGGATCATAAGGGCAATCAAAGGGCTCAGGTAGTCTTTGTCCTAAGCCTTTAGCTTATTACCTCTCTCTCCCTTCCCAATTCTCCTCTGAGGGAATGTATTGATCAGTAGGTAAGCCCAGCTGTATGTATAGAGACCCAAGAGTGTGGCTTAAACAAGATACAAGTTTATTTCTCTCGCACATTAAAGTCTGGGCGGCTATGACGGCTCTGCTCACCCAGCCCCCTTCCATGCTGTTGGCTTTGCCTAGAGTGTTGTCTTTGTGTGTGCGGCACCATCGTTTCCACGGTCTACTTCGCAGAAGGCTAAGAAAGGGATGGTGTACCCTTTCCCTTTAAGAGTTAAACCTAAATGTGATTCTGCTCACATCCCATTGACCACTCTCACGGTCACACCTAGCTGCAAAGGAAGCTGGCTCCTCTCTGGCAAAGAAAGAAGATAGCAAAGACTGGAAGGGCAAAAAGAACCGAACCTGACTTTCCCCCTCCTTTCTGTTTTTCAGGTAAAAATGATTCCTGAGTAAACTACAAGCGCAGGAGTATTTTAACTCTCCAGGGTGAACAATCTGTGCCAGTATGTCTACCTACTACACTAACAGCGGGTATGAGGAAGATCCGGATTACCCTCAGTATCCAGGGTCTCAAAACCATTCGCAGGGATATTTGAAAACTCGGGATTATCTGGATCTTCCAGGACCTCAGAACAATCGAGACTATCCAGGCACCAGGAACAACGTGTACCCTGCAAACTCCAGAACCAACACCCACTATGCTGGGTCTCCATCAGAGGCAGATTATCCAGGATCTCAGCATAATCCCGACTATCCCAGCACCACAAGAAATCCATATGCTGCTGATGTGAGAGCAAAGCCAGACTATCATAGATCTCAGACAGGTCCAGATGACACTGAACCGTGGGATCATTCATACCGCTCCTCTGGCTCATTCAGAGAGCAAGGCAACCTTGGAGCTCAACGGACTCCTGATGTGACAGGTGCCAGAAGTCATGGAGGCTATTCAGGTCCCAGAACAAATCCAGATTATTTTGGATCTTTGGAAGAACCAGACTACCCTGGAGCCCAGAGCATCTCTGACTATCCTGGACCCAGAGCCAATCCCAACCCTATGGGTTCCAGAAGGAATCTGGAATATGACCGTCACAGAACCAATCCATATGCACACTCTCTAGATGAGCCTGATTATCCAGGTGCTGGGAATCAGCCTAACTCTCCAAACGTTTGGGGGGAACCAGACTATCCTGTTGCTGAGGGCCGTCAGAGATCTTCAAACTTCTGGGGGGAACCGGATTACCCAGATGCTGAAGGCAGTCATGATGATGGTTCTTCTCAGGGGTAAGTGCATCTACCTTCCTCCAATAGGATTTAGTTGCCATGGTTCAGACTGGGGTAGGGTATGAAGGGAACGTTATAACGGTTTCCATGTCCTCAGGTTGTGGAGAAACTTTTATGTTCCCCTGTAGACGTGCCCTGGGCCATGGACCCTCAACCTGGGGCCTCAATTCTCTTCTTGAATGAAATGTTTCCTCATTCCTTATCGGATAACTTCCTTACCTCCAAACCAAACCAGTTATCATTGAGTTGATTTTAACTCTTGGTGGCCCTGTGTATATCAGAGTAGAACTGTGCTCCACAGAGTTTCAGTGCCTGATTGTTTTTTCCGCAAGTAGATTGCCAAGCCTTTCTTCTGAGGTACCTCTGGGTAAATTCCAAACACCAACCTTTCCGCAAGTAGCCAAGCACTTATGCATTTGCACCACTCAAGGACTCACACCTCTTCCTACTCCAATCCATGTGAAACACATGGGTTCCCACTGTGTTGACCTTGCTACTCTGGCAATGAGGCTACAGTTGGCTATTATGAACTTTTAATTATATATATATATATAGTCTAACATCAGGAAGTCTCAACTCTTCACTTTGTTTTTTATACGTGATGGCCAAGCTGCTCCTGATTTCTTCCACTTTCACTGAAATGATTGCTGTCGGAACCAATTACTTGCAACATGCAAATGCAACACCGACTCACTGATCTTCTGCACTATTATTTTCCTCAACTTGTAGCTATTATAGTTTTGACCATTGTTAACATTTCTTTAAAGCCATTCTCCTTCTTAAGTCCATTTTTCCCTGGTTCAGATGTTGTATATCTAAATTCTGTCAAGAGTATTTATTCTTCCATTTTTGCCAATGACAGAGTTTAGCAGCTGAAGCTCTGGCCAGAGAGGACCATAAGGCAGGCCCTAATACAAAACA